GGTTCTCAATGGCAGCAAGGAGCAGGAGGAGAGGAGGTTTCTTCTTTCGCGTCATGTGGTTCGTCAGACACCCGAGGTGCCGAAGGTGAGCGGCAGAGTGGTGACGTGTCGCTATACTCAGGAAGGTTTCCGCGGGCGGGCGGGGCTGGGCGAGCTGAGGATCGGTGGAGGAGTGGGAGTAGGATAATAATTTTGGTGAAGATAATAGATAAGGATGTCATTGTGAATGACGTCACAAAATAAAAATAAAATAAACAAAAGTATAAGATTTAGTCGGTATTGCGGCCTGAATATACGAAGAACGAGGCACTCCTTTTAGTGGAGCGGGCGCCGGTATCGTGCGGTGTGATGGAGGGGCTTTAGCATAAAAATTTTAGGAAAGTAAGGGAGAGGATTAAGGGGATAAGGAAGAAGATATATGTTGTGGCGAGGAATGAGTGGGTTATTGTGTGTTAGACAGGAACATAAAATAAATTAAGCAAAGTGTAGAGAGATTAGAGAGCCCGAAAATCGTAGTCTGAAGTAATCTGCTTATTTAGTGGTCGGTGTGGCCTGTCTGCATCCGGATATTCGTGTAAAACTTGCTATGTCTGTTTTGGTTCGGGGGTCCTTCACGGCTGGCACTGATCTCTTTATAAGCACGCCGGACTGCCGCCATGATGTGAAGTCTAACCAACGGTCCGGGCCTTTGTGAAAAAGGAACGATGACCCCTTTCTCACCAGGACCAGGAATAAGAAAACCTCAGTACCGTATTGCGTAACATTCATGGCAGGCTGACGTTAATTATAATGTATAGACGGCATCAAGAAATAAATATCTCGGACGACTCTCTTGAAACCTGTTTGAACTTCTTGACGCGTTTTTGACTTTGCACTGCACCTAGGTATTTAATATTGATTACTTTGTAGAACGTAAAGAAAAGTGTTATGAAGAGGACCGTCATAGTTATCAATTAAGCCGACTGAAAATATAAACTAGGTAACCATTATCCAACTATAAGATGGGGTTATTGCCACGTCACTATCTTTTCCTGAAACATTCAAAAATTTCTATAATAACTAAAAGAAACTATATTCTTACCATTATGACTCAACTTCTTATTAGTCCAAAACCACTACCCTCTGTGTAGAAACCTTAGGTGTTAAAGTTATCAATGGTAATTCTTCTATACGGAAAGACAAGACACTTACAAAAATGTTTAGTTTAATTACACATCTTCATTTGTACTCTTATATATTCGTATAGGACATTTAATACATTTTTGGACTTATTTTTGGTGTATAGAAGTCTACAATATGATGTGTTCACAGGTGTGATTATTAGCATCAATAATAATCATTTACGGACACCTGGAACACAGTGGCGGAATCACCAATTTCGTGCAATAACTAATATAACCAACTTATTCAATAAAAACACTGTTTATAATTACTACTTTTTTTATATTCTCATGTATAAGTACCCCTTTCTCTTCCAGTTCTATCGTTATATTCTTATATTTTTATTCTCTATGACATTCACAGAGATGTTTTTTGTCAATCCACCTACCTAATGTTTGAGGTGCAATAAACGAAACAGCAGCTTTTTGGAATGTTAAAACTATTATTTTCTGCCTCGCTCATGAGAGTAACAGCTGGCGAAATTACAGCCTCGCCTACTGATTTCAAATGTGTGCTCTAAAATTATATTTATAAATGACTATTATCATTATTATAAGCAAGACAATAAATGGTAAAGATATGTAGAAAATAAATGTATTTGAGATACGTTCATAACAAACGTAACGTGGGAGAAAATATGTTTCTAGAATATATGTAGAAAATAAACGTATTTGAGATACGTTCATAACAAACGTAACGTGGGAGAAAATACGTTTCTAGCTAAACGTAATTGAGAATGCAGTTTAGTTCTGTGGGAACGTAATTTTTAGGAGACAGGGTTGCTTGGGGAGTGGCTCCTTATTTCCACAGACCCAGAATCAGCACTTTTGAAACAGGGCAGAAACAGAGGGGTTTATGGGATGGTACAATGCATCTGTTTGGTATTTCAAGCCAAACACTTCAGAGACATGTTTTGTATATATTTGAGAACTATAATATATAGATGAAAAACAGTATAATAGGGGACCTTTAAACTATATTTCGCTTTAAATAACATTTTAAAGGAGCCAAAGACTAGCTCACCACATCAAAATGCAGTTTTGTATACGGATTATGGGTTTTACGGTGCTTACCTCCAGGTCCTTAGTGATGGGATGCATTGGGCCGTGGGTGACCATGAGAATGGCGTAGGCCCTGCAGACCATGCCATGGCCGATCTCTATTTCCCCAGCTTGCCAGTGAGTCACTCCTGATCGCATGGCGGCCATACCAAGAGCAGCATTGTTTGGGTGGTACAGTTTCCTGTCAGGGGAAGAGATTTGATTTGTTTCTCAATTTCTTACATTGAGAAGTCCGTCTATTCATCTGAAATATTGAATAGAACATTAATTGCAAAAGGCTCATATAAAGCACAACCAAGTGCACAATATCTCTGTACTCACATGTATCCCTCCACCATTTTGCGGGAATTGTCTGCAGCATCATCAAATAACTGCAGGTAAGCTTGCACCTCACTTAACGTGCTCCACATCCGCAGCTGGTAAATGTGAGTGTCAGCCAAAACTGGTTCTGTCTTCTCCAGGCAATCCTTGCTGATCTTTACCACCTAAAAAGATTAACATCAATGGATAAATCTTGTAGGTAGGAAATATAGCAGAAAAACATTGAATTTGGTATTGTGAGAGATTAGATACAATACCTCATGGTAGTTGCCATTTAGTCGAGCCTTTTCCATTTTCTCCATCATTTCAAAGCAATAATCTGTAGCCTCTTTCACTTGTTCCTCTGTAGGCTAAACAGTGAAGATACAAGACACAAATCAAATCTTAAAGAAAGCATCAAGAACTGTTATCAGTTTTAGCACAGGGGTTCACACACTCAAATACATTTTTCAAGAGAACATGCAATTGTTTTCACATTGGCAACACCAGTTGGCCTTGCCCTCCGCAAAGGCGAAGGTCTGATTATATTTTATCTTAATCTTGAAGGCCTTTGAACTGCTGAAGAGGCCCTGTCCACGTTTCATTAATATTTTACTAATAACAACCATATCTCCTTTAGTGTATCATTAAACAAAAATTATAATATGGTCATTATCAGACGGACAGATATGACACAGTTCCTGGCTTAAAATAAAGTATTAAACTCCAAACCTTTTTTTTTTGTAATAATTCCTGACATATGCTATAAATAGTTTCAGACCCACACATACAAACCACGCTACAAGAGGGTGTGTGTGTGTGTGTGTGTGGGTCATGTTTTGCAGATATACAATGGGAAGCCGTATCATTCAAGGCCATGGCCTTTTTTTATGATATGACAGTGTTATGCATTGATTTACACGCCTCAAAGTATTAAATTGTGTTTTATAATCGGGTGTTGAATGTCAATTACATTATAAAATATAAAGTTGATAAGATAATAACTCCTGGTATGTGGTAAAGCATTGAAAAACTGTTACTGCTTTAAAGTTAGTTAATCAAGGTTTATCTTTAGTACTTTGTCACTTGTGTACATGCACAACCTTACACACAGTTTGTAAGATGATACCATTGGGAGTTATCTTTGTTAAAAATAGGACCTGCTGCTCTGCTTCACATGTTTCCCCTCTGTCCTTATCAGCCATGCCAGTACTAAAAGTGGTGAGGAGGTTTTTGTTTTGTTCTACCTTGTGCAGTATAAAATCCTTCTCCACAAACCTTGACTCCATCCACTTCCAATCCCCCCAACTTCAAGTCATCTTTGACGTGGTCCTTGCAGTGCTCACATGTGCAGTCAAAGAAGTATTGTGTTTTCAGCAGCTTCTGTCTCTCCTCGGTCAAATTCAGGAAGTCCACGTATGAAACTGTGAGCTCGTCTCCCGCTTCAATCTTACCCAGAGAACGCAGCTCAATCCTGAGGTAGAGAAACATGGTTATAAACAAGCAGAGATGCAGAAATACAAGCAGAATTGACTTGATTTATTCTTCTCACTGTATAGTCTTTCATATACAGTATACGATTGGTGAAACCCTGTTTCACAGTTTTGCTTTCAGTTCTCTCAATCCAGTAGAAGGATTGAAGGAATGGATATTAATGAAGATTATTTCACACCTAAGCCAAAATAAAGCAAATTAATTTTGTCAATTTACCACTTTCTTTAAATATGTTCTTGTATATTCTTTGGATTGTTTTTATTTATTTTGAAATTAAGGTTTTATTTCAACAATTTAAAAATGCTTGACAAATATTTACATGTTGTAAATGTTTACACAAAAGGTTAATAAAGGCTTAGAGATGAAATAATGTAACATTTAAAATGTTGTTTTTTATGTTACATGGTGTTAGAAGTAACTAACTAGGAATGAAAGTTGTTATAAAGGAGAGAAGCTTCTAATACACTCCTACAAAGCAACCTGTGTCGTGTGATGAATGGACACACATTGCGATCACACAAAGACAAACACACAAAGTGAAAAAGCATCACACAAGAAAAACCTTGTGTGGACATGGCACGCTGTCTTTGTGCAGATAAAGAAACCTTTATATAAGATTAGAGCATTTCCACGATAGATGGAATGGGAGGAAGGAAGGCGTGTTATGTATAATATTATGTTGATAAAGAAGGCTCTGAGGATTAAAAAGGCTCAGGCTGAGGTAACGCACCTCCGTTGAGAATGAAACATAGTATTCACTGCCGATTGACTGAAAGACAAACAGGAAGCAGTTTTACACCAAATACAACCTGACAGACACATTCACACACACAATACATAACAGTAGGCAAACACACACTTTATATTTTGAAAAGGAATAAAACCGAAACAGTTTTTTTCTTTACTTACTTGCCGTGGTTGAGGATCACGGTGCAGTTCGGCCAGCAGTTGTGATTCACCATGCAAAGATTTGGGAAGAGGCCCACTCCCACAGCCTGGAGGCCCCTCTGGTCACTCACAGTGAAACCATTACAGTTAATCTGAGAGAAGGAGGGAACAATAACAAAACACATCAATAAATAACGGACACATTTATGCAATGAAAAACAATTTTTAGGATTTTTTTGTTTGTTTTGGCCTTTACTCTCTTTTCTCTTAAGGGTGAAATTAAATAAAGCAATGTCAAAGTGACTGGAGACTGCAACTGTGGCTTTATTAAACCATTACTCTCACTGTCATATGGATTCACAAATGACATCTGAGGGGTCTCAAGATGATAACTAGAACCTGTAATAAGTACAAAACATTTCTTCTACACAAACAATGTTGTTCTCTCTGACTTCTCTCTCATCTTTGCTGCTTTTTCTTCATGGAAACTTAAGACCTCTCAAAATATAGACTGCTTCATATTATTTACAAGATATACAAATGTTCTGAAATCAGATTGTCCCTTAGTACACCAGAACTAGGGCCTGTTTTTCGCCTGAGTTAAAAAACTAAACAACTACGACATCTTAAACTGTACTACTTAGAAAGGTTTATTAAATGTTCATTTTGGGCAGGTCACAAGTTCTATGACACCCTTTATTTTCACCATGTCAATCATTGGTAAAAACATCACGTGATCTGAGCTGCAGGGCGTATAAACTTGTGGCTGTATTTCCTTTTGTAACAGCCATGTTAAAAGCTTAGTAAGATACAACATTTGTGAATGTTTAAATACACCGTTAACCCGATACAACTTGGGAAAATTAGGGATGGCCCATAAAGGGATAGCACATATTAACATACCACTCCAAAAATATGAAAAGTGTCATCAATGGTGTGCTGCTTGCTGCTGCGGGGCCAGTAATCCAGGAAGTTGTGGATGTCCACTTTGAAGTCCTTCAAATCGTCCTCAGGCATGTCAGCAATGTGATCCTCCAGCTCCTCCAGTGTTACCATCTGCGTGTCCGACATCATGCTCCCATCTTTGTCAAGGCGCCACAGGATGCGAGCCCCCAAACTGAAAAAAAACAATAGAAGAAGAAAGGTAACTCTTAGGTTCACGATAAAAGCAGGATTTATGTCTGACTGTGTTCAAGCGATACATATTACTGTGCCCAGCAGGCCAGTTCAGTAATACATCCATGTATGCAACATAGCTAAAATCAGGTCTTTATAATCCATGGTGATGCAGAGATCACACTTCAGGTCTTTGTATAATCCAGACTGGATTATTGTAAGGTTTTATTTTCAGGCCTGCCATGTGTTAGTATTATACTGTAGGTCTTCAAATTAAATACTACAGCTTCCCTTCATTGACTCCTGATCAAAGATGTTAACCCTAACCCTACCCCCCTGACCCCTTTTAGTCCAAAGAGGACTCTTCAATATCAGAGTACGGGGCTCCAGTCCATCCCTTTTTCTTATCGTGGCCCACAATCAACATTCTCTAACAGCCTCTATTTTTCAATGAAAGGTCTCCTATTATGCTATTTTTAGGTTTATATTATGGGTCTCAGATATATAAAAAACATTTCTATGATGTGTTTCGTTAACGTTTCTGATAGTGCTGTGGGTCCACATTTCCGATATTACGTCATATCGGACGCAAATCTGGATCAACTCCGTTGTGCCCCCGTTTTTAGAGATTTGGATACGGAGGAAAAGAGAGATGGTTTGTTTTCTGACACTTTGTGACTTCCCTGATACACCGGGGACACATATTTATGTATAAAATACATCAAAAAGTATATTTTGCCTGATAGGTCCCCTTTGAGGAAAGATTAGTAAATAGCAGAAAATGCGTTTTCTCTTATTGTATCCACATAAATCTCAACATCTGTATTAAGCATGTAACTAAATATTTCCTTTTGCTTCCCTCACCGGATGTTCTCGTTCGGTGCTTTGCCATGCGTTTTTATGGCAGTACATTCTAGCTTGTGTTCGGCCCAGCCGGCTCGCTGGCAGGTTCGGTCACAATAATGAGCAAATTTGCACTGGCCGCACTTCTGTAGCTTTTCTTGTCTTCGGAAACAGCTGTGGCAAATACGGTCTACTAGGCTGAGGAAAAAGAGAGGAAAGATATTTATGGTCCATATTTTACAGAACATGCATAATGTAGATAACATGGGGACAGTTTTCAAAGGAAGAGTTATGCACGTTGGTTCTGGCTAATACCTGGGGCCTATTGCCTATTGCCTATTGCCTATTGATTCCTTTTTATAGTAATAATTAAGAGTTTGAAGGCAATATCTCAGATTTGCATGAAAAAGGTTGATGTGCATTTATTCTCTTGATATTATCATCTTCACACAATATATTCTCAACTCAACATTCCATGTCTTCCTCTGATAATGGTAACTTCTGACAGTGAAGTCTGACCAGAGATGTTATATAAAACAAATTTAAAACATTACATTTTACACGTACACTTTGTTGGATTTCACACCCTTTTCTCATAAACAACAGCTTGTTTATAAAGGAATGTTATATCACAGATCATACATTCAAATGCACAGATCTTCTGATAGTACATGACAGTAGATAGTACAACTGAGCTCTATTTTACAAAAGATACAAATGCAGTCACAATTTGTGTTTGTTCTTCAATGTGATTAGCACTTCTTCAGTAAAAATGAAAATCCCCCTGAGAATGACAAGTCAGACTGGAGTAATGTTAGAATATGGCACTTGTGTTAGTGATAAAACCAGAGAAAAACAAGACTATGGTCTATAAAAACAGGAAAGTGTAAGATGTTGTGGCTAGATAGTAAAGAGACAGACAGAAGAAAAAGAAAACATATTTTTCATCTGCCCAAATGACCCTATCTGATGAGGTCTCCCTCCCCTTAGCTTACACGTCTCAAATGTTGGTCACAACTTTACCTGTCAAACACAACAGCTGCAACACTGGGCTCTGCAAAAATTACGTCTCCAGCCCAAAACTCCTTAGTGGCCTTAAGACCCCTCCCCTTTCCAGGTGACTCGAATATTGCCACGTTCTCCATTGTTCCTGCACTGGTTCCTGAGAAGCTGGTGAGCAGTGAGTCAGTGGTGAGCAGACGGCAGAAGTTTCAGTGTAAGAGAAAAAGCTGAATGCAGTGATAGGGTAGTTGAGGGTCTCGTAGACCAATCTGTGCCCTCTGTGTACTTCAATGACAACTGGACATTCCTCCCCCGAGGTACTAAAATAGCCCTCCACCCCATGAACTGTACCAACAGACCCAAAATGGGTTGTTGTTGATTTGTCCCCCTCCACATGGAACTCAAATGTCTTATCCTGTCAATAAAACCAACAACACCATCTCAAAGTCACACCGCTAAAACTATCACACTTTCAATGTGATTCTCAAATGTATTCAAATTAGGGGCGACACTTTAGAGTTTTTGTCACGTTCACTTTCAGAAATTCCCCCTGCCCCCGACCATGAATTGGTAGGTGCCCTGTTGCTGAGGGTTATTTTTGGCCCACAGTTGGGGCTGTCTATCAAGAGTCAGTGGTGACGTTGGACAGCTGGGAGAGTTTGACAGATACAGAGCTGATTTAATTGGCAGCCTCTACTCTGTTCTTGTGCTTTCTACTACTTACTCTATACGTGCAACATATGACACCAGGCAAGTTGGGGGGGAGCCACTTAAGGATTTCCAGGATGTACCCGGGCCCCAACACATGATTGGACTACAAGTTTTGAGTCTCCACAATGTGCTTAAAGGAAGAGACACACACATAAATACATAAACTTAAATCCCCCATACTGTATGTGCACACAAATACTCAGAATTTCACCCAAACCTTGGCGTGACTCGGGGGGCTTTACAAACCAAGTATTAACTTGTATCTACAAAATACAGTTAAAGCACCTACGCTTCAGTTGTTTTGATTGCCCTGCATTGCATTGAACTTTCTTTTTTTTTTTTAAATCCTTTGCTTAAATGACTACACTGACTGAAAAGACCAAGGTCCAATCTATTGATGGATGTATTGGTACATGTGTTCTTAACCCAACCTTTGATAGTATTAGTAGTCTGTTTCTGTGTTGTGTCAATAATCAGCTGAGGTGAAACGCTTAAGGAATTAAACAATTAAGAACAGGAGTGACATTTATTTTCTGACATCACATATGAAACACATAATCAGTATAACAGCAATTGATTAAAAAAAAAACTATTCTTATCAATAAATGTAATTATTGCAGTAGATAAAGCTAATTCTGTGCTCTACCAGAGAGCAATAGCAAAGAGCATGGGTCTTTCTCTCTAACTTTAGCAAGGTAATGACATCTAATAATTTACACAACGGACACTATTCTTTTTGACTCTTTCTCGTATAGATATCACACATCGAAGAAGTCGAGGTGTGCTCCTGAGGAGAAGTTATTGTCCAGCAGCAGCTTCATCAGTTTGGCTGCAGATTCATGGCAGGGCATGGGATTATGATTGACATTTGTTAACCTCAGGATTTCTTTCTGCATATCTGTGTCCATTGGACCTGAAGGAAACCAAAAGAATGGGCTGGTTAGAAGATAACACGTGTTGCCTCTTGCACTCCATATTACAAGCATAGACGGTTAAATACAGTAATACAGCAGGCCAGCTGTTATAGGGATTATGGAAAGGGGGGTGACATTTTCAAATTGGGCACATCACTCATGGCTCTGGACAACATTTCCACCACTTACCTGAACAAATATTTCAACCTTCCTGAAGTAAGTGTAAACCGTAAAAAAAAAATATATATATCCTTTAACTCTGTTTTTGTAATAGATAGTGATTATTTGCATAAAATATAGTTGAATCAAACTAACCATCAAATCGAAAGGCGGTTATTGTAGGAGTCTGTGCACACCGGCTGCTTACAGCTAACAGCTTACATTATTAGCTCTCCTGTCGATTACAACACAGATTTGTTGTTTACAATGTCATATTATTAACATTTTACATGGGCCTTGGGCCGGGGTCATGTACCCTTCGACCCCACAGTACATCCTTTCATCTTCATTTTTTTCTCAGTATCACTGGACACTGGAGTAAATACAAAATTTGGATTTTCTCGGGTGATAATGGGAAATGAGAGACACTAACCCACTGCTTTTGTCAAGATGGGAACAACGGGCTGCTTTTATAACCCAAAATGAGGCAGAACTAATGCATTGCATGTGATGTATAAAAAGGGACAATACTCTCCCTTGTTTTCTATGATTTTTAAATTAACTTTAACACATACAGTAATTGTTTTTGCATACCTCTGGTCAATATATAAAGTATATACCTGGAGAGTAGCTGAGGACTTTGACATGTTGCTGTTCCTTGGCCAGCACCGAGAACATCATATTCCTGGCTGCTTTGGCGGTGCAGTATAGCACCCAGGAGGGTAAGGCCTGCAGTGCAAACATAGACGAGAGGTTTACCACACTCCATCGTAGGCCCGGCCTGCAGGGACACAACTTCAGGATCCCTGCTGTCAGAGCCAGAGGGGAGCTTACGTTGAGAGACAGATAGGAATTCACCTCATCAGGATTGGTGAAAGTCTCAAACTTGGCAATGTCGCCCAAAGAGCCTATAAGGGTAGAGAGAGAGAGGAGATGTTACACATAAAAAGGGGTAAACATGCGTGTTGACAGTATATTTGTCTAATATCTGTTAGGGAATAATTTGCTTAGGTATTCAACCTTCGACACAGTTCATCATTTTCTCTTCTCACTGTCTCCTTTCCCATGGCATAGGTCTACGGCCTGGGTATTGCTGCTATCTCTCTCAAGGAGGGGCAGCTTGGGCGCATTGTTGTTGCCAGTCTATGACAGAGCACAAGCCGCCATGAGGTAGTTTACTGTTCAGGGATGTAGGTTCCCTGACGCACATTCTTTTCTATGGACGAGAGTAAGATTCAGGGTCCATAATTGTTGTTAAAACATCGAGCTGCAGAAGAGTTCTTGAGAATTGGTTTGGTAACCGCTGTGTCAACTCGTGACACACCACCTGTCTTGTCAATTCTCCGGCCGTAACTCCAAATAAACCATCAGTGTTTGCCATCAAAGCTCCTTGTGACTCTCTGAGTCCTTTTTCCAATTGCTTCAGAAGTTTTCCCCACAATATCTAGTCAGAATTTGTCTTTACACTTGCTATAAGACATAATAACTTCAGAAGTAACAATGAAGTGAGATATCGGGTCTTGTTTTAGACAATGCATCATCTTGTTAAGTCAATCTTATTTTGAGTTGTATCTCAGATTGAATGGTTTTTTTCCCACATATTTATTGGAAAATCACCAACTAACATCAGAAAACAGAAACCTTTTGAGCATTTGCGGCTTATATTGTAACACAGCATTTCCTGATTCTAGTCAAATATAGTTCAAAATAAGTTTTCCCAGCTAATTACAAGATCTGATTTATCTAAATATCCCTTCTAAGAAATCTTACCAAGCAAATTTTCACTTGTTCTATTGGCAGATTTGTGTACTTATTTCAAGTGAAAACACCTTGTTTTCATAATTTTTTCAACTTGTTTTTGGAGGAGCATTTTTTCCAGTGCATACAAAATCAGCAGTGAGTAGGCTGCTTGGTGACAGATTCAAACAGAGAAAGTGACCCACCAGCGTTGTTGATCAGAAGCACATGTTCTATTTCATCTACAGCTTCCTGCCTTGCCACCCTGACCGTTTCATCCACACCCTCTTTGGTCCTCAGATCCACAGCGACGCAGTGAACCACGAGCTGCTGTTCCTCAGTGGCACTCTGCAGCTCTTCCTTCATCTCCTGCAGCAGAGGCCCTGAGCGAGCCACCAGCAAGAGGACCGAGCGGGGCTCCAGAGAGCGGGACACCTGGATGGACATTTGATTATTTGCTTATCTTTCTTTAAAATCATTTTTTCTTCCTACAAGTTGATCACTTACTTGATATCCCAGCGCCTGTCCGAATCCCTTGGAGGCTCCAGTGATGATGCAGATTCCCCGGCCCAGAGTCCTGGGGTTTGTGGAGTTAATGTCTGACATCTGCACAGATTTTCTCGGGTGATAATGTGAAATGAGAGGACACTAACCCACTGCTTTTGTCAAGATGGGAACAACGGGCTGCTTTTATAACCCAACATGAGGAAGAACTAATGCATTGCATGTGATGTATTAATTCCACAGTGAGAGGAGAATTAGGAGACGGTAGTTCCACATTGGTACTACATTCTAAAGAAAACTTAAAAAGATGTTTTTTGATTCAGAATAATGATTTTGATCAAATTCAAATGGGTTACATTTTTAACAAAAAATCTTTTGTAGTAATATCATTTAAATAAACACCTTAACAAGCAATTTCTAAGATGTTTTATACAGAAAACGCATGTTAAATAGATTATTATAAAACTAAAAGAAAATCAGTGACCAGATCGGATAATAAAACAGTAAAAACATGGATTAGGACAATAAATTCAAACAAAGCATCTATGACTTAACACACAACATTCCAAAACATTATGGCTCTGAGTTTAAAACAATTATGGTTTTAAATGAAAGCGTGAAATGTGTTCCTTGCATGCTTCCTTTGATTTACATCAGTGAACATCACTGCCAAGCTTTGTTAAACTGAAGAAATACTCTGGCTTGTGGATTGTGTGTTAACTGACTGACATAATCAATTAAAATAACTTAAGGCAGCCTCTAAAGTTCAGCATGAAAAAATAAACCATATGAGCTAGATACAACAATGGGAAGCAGACTTATTCTGAACCTGAGACTTCTTAAAGCATTGCTTGAAGCAAATAGAGATAACAAATAATTATTTTAAATATTTCTCAGCACAGAGAGATAAGCATCAATCTTGAGGCACCAAAAATATAATGACCAAAGTCTTGTGCCACTAAATGACTAATCCTACCATACCATTTAATGTAATTGTATAGTAGTGGTTTGGCATTTGGTAATCTTGTGACCCACTTTTGACCTTCTCATGGGTTCATGAAAAGATTTTCTTTTCATTTTGCTTTGATAGCATTAACCCCAAACACATAAAATGTTGAACTGAGAAACTGACATTAAAGGACATTAAGGAGATGCAGAGAAGACATATATGACATTTTGGGTTTCTCAATAGAAAGCTAAATGTATTGATTGATTCAGCACACAGACACAACACAAATAAGTGGGTGACAAAGAGCCGGGAAGCAATATACAGTGGCTAGGTTGGGTGTGTGAAATCATAGCGCCTTCTAGTGGCAGCGGGGACACCTGAGCGTAAATTAAGCTTTATAGCAACTGTGAAAACCACACTACAGGCTTTCAGCAAATACAGAACTACACTGCCTCCTTATGGACAGTTGATTGCAAGTGCAACAGCGAAAGAGGCTTCTTCTTAAGAGATTTCCAATTCAAAAGTATGTAAAGATTGCATTGGCCTAGAGATGAATGGTCAACCACACTGTAGAACAACACTTGCTTCCCTCCTAACATAACCAGACTGTTCTGGGGAGTAAGTAAATGCATCATATCAGAGCATCATACGGTTATAACTCTGAGAGTTGGAAAAACTGAACTGAAATATCCCTTTATGACACACACCACCGTATTATTTATGTATGTAGGACTTCTTATACCCATAAAATAAATAATTTTTTTATATACTCAACTCAGGTGTGCTTTTGCTCTTGGATGCTCCTTCCTCATCCTGCAGGGAGGGGGCACACTGGAGCTAACCAGAGCTCTACAATAAAGGGCTTCTCACAAGATAAAAATACATTGAAAAAAAACAAGAACAAATAACCATCAGTATTATTTAATTTTTCGAACCACCAGTTAGAACAAAAGATTTTGAGTGATACAAAATGTAAATTACAATTAAAAAAAAAATCCCCCGATATATATAATTGTTGTTACTGCTACTTAATCTACTTAGTTTATTCACATACTTTTATAATGCTGCTACTTATTGTTTTACTATGGTTGTGTATTTTATAAACGTATGCTTGTCTCTTTATTTTATAAGTTAACCTACTTATAGAGGTTTGTCTTTAATGTCCACTGTCCCTTTGCTGGAACAATGTATATTTCCCCACAGTGGCATCAATAAAGGATTTCTGATTGTTATTCTGATTCTGATAAAGGAAAATGGGGGAAAGAAAACTGCTATGCAACAAAAAGTCAGGTAACATTGTCTATACCACAGAAATAATTTTGGTTGTGATCAAAGTAAGTACAACCTGCCCAATATTAGATGACTTGTGTGACCAGAAAAAGTCAGTGATTGGACCGAGCATCATCCAAAATATGAAAATCTGCTTTTCCTTGTCATTACTTGAATAATTTCAATGTATTTCTTATAGTTTCTCATCCATAATCAATTGCAAAGTGCAATCACAATGGATACAAAAATAAGGTCCAATTAACCAACTTCAGCCGTACATTTCTGACTTAAAATGAATGCATTATTATCAATAATGTAACGTTAAGGGATGTTTTCCTGCAGTGCGGAGTACTTTTAGTTTTAACACTTTAAATAAATGTTCCTGATTCTACCTTTTTAGTAATTTAACCATTTTGATGCATGACTTTTACTTTTGATTTTCAGAGAGATATTAGTAACTTTAGTTATATATATGGATCTAAATGATTGCACCATTCAGGATGTATGGCTGTCCCCAAACTGAGATTCCAAAAAATACTTTAACAAAATACAAATGTTTTTTGTTCTTCTAATGACATCAATTATGATGATTTTTCTGTTACAGGACATTAGAACAAATATAATTAGAACAAATAATTGTCTGTTGATGCATCCAGCATGACTGTTTCCATTGAACGTCTCATCCATCCACCCAGGGGGCTGCATATGTGACTCCAGAGGCTTTTCCCCAGGGAGACCACTGGATGAAAGCCAAAAGGGGGCGTTTGCATCATGCAGCCGGAGGGGCGGGGCCAGAGGTGGGTGTGTGTCTCTCAGCTGATGCGCGTATCAACTGAACCGACCGACTCCATCATCAGCATCCGACGGTGACAGCGGTCGAAGACAGCATCCCTAATTTTACCGAGCCACGGTAACATCGCATGACCACAGAGAGGCCAGCCGAACGGGACTGACGGTGCTTCTTGTGACACTAATATTTATTGAGGCTGCCATCTTACAAAACGCCGAGCTGCAAAATAGTGAGTAGCCTTTGATGATGGACCTCCAGGATGCTACAATCGGTAAATCAAAGCTACTGTCGTCAATGTCAATGACGCTGTGCATTTTAATGTGGATTTATTTTTGGATTCGGCGAGGGTCGTGCGTGTATTTCTTGTCACGGGGCCTAGCGAGTAATTGTTTGGGAGCGCAGTGGATTCAGGGCTTGATGCGGATGCTGTTAAAGCCGCCCTTGCCGCCCAGGGATGCAGAGAAAAAGGGAGAGAGAGGGGGAGTCGTGAGGAGAGGGGATTGAGGCAGAGCCGCAGATACATTTCAGTGTTTTTTACTACTACTACTATTCACCCAAGTGGAAGTAATCCTCTAGTAAATGGGCTGGGGAGGGGAGGTGCACTGGCATGCCTCTCTCTCTCTCTCTATCTATCTACCTACCTATATCTATCTATCTATCTATCTCTCTATCTATGCTGCTGTATACATTTGGAGATGTCATATTTGAGCTCGATAATATGTAACGTTTTTGAGGGCATACATATATAAAGCTTGTAAACAAACATATTTATTTTTTTAAGCACATGTCTTTGTAATACTGTACACAAACGTGAATGTGCCAAGCTAATTTTACCAGTTTATTTGTGTACCATTGTCTAAAACTTATTTGACAGTCCTGCAATATATCTCGCCTTTAAAAAGTTTATATATTCTGTATTAGTTGTAGCTGCAGTTTTTGGCGATGTTGACTTGTATTGCGCTACACTTAGAGGACATGTTTGCCTTATAGGAGACAGTGAATGGCTTACGTGTAAGAAAAAGTTGTAGATGACAAAGTTCCCAGACTGGACTTAAACGCATGGATGTTACCGTTATGTGATCCGCAGTAAACCTCTAAACTGGCATCTCATCACAAAGCAAGACAATATAATTGAAATAAATTGTTGTTTTGAGGTAAAGTGTTGACATGTTGATATTACTGTTAGATAGGTGTTGATGAAGCTTGTAAAGACCCTGGTTTTGGGTATTTTTTATTGAATGGCACTGTACCTTAATGTACACCACCAATGATACCTTAAACAGCCCTTAAAACATACTTAACATTGTTTTTTCAGATTGATATTTCAAAACGTTTCCTAATCTGTGGCACATTTATGAGGATTTCTGTAAATAACTCCTAGATGCCGCATATAGGGCAGGCAATATATTTTTGGTCTGTTCTTTTTGTAAACAAAGTTTATGAATATATTTAGTAATATAACACAAAGTTTGAATCATGATCATTTTCTTGTTTGGTGTAAAAGTAAGGATTTACTGCCATGTACATATTTTATTGTCTGTGCAGGCCCAGTTTGTGCCAATGATGTTATCAATTAACTGGAGGACGGGTTTTATTGTTACTCTTTATTTATACCCTCACTCTACGCATAACTATCTAGACTTATCTGTCGGACACATTTCATTTTTATCATGGTGGGAGGAGCACATTTTCCTGTATGTTGGTTGAAAAATATTCTGCATTAGTTATTATTGTATAACAAGTCATTATGCAATTATAATATTGTATAACGCCTTTCATTTTTCTGTGTTCCTCTAGTGTGTGTGCCCCCACTACCTGCATTAGGTTGTGATGACCCACACTACTTCCAAATGTTTCTGTGACCCTCCCCAATCCTGACTCCTAACCTCTAATCCCTGACCTTTGACCCCACTATGGGCAGTGTTGGCAGTGGGGTGGCAGGAGAGCAGGAATTTGCCATGAAGTCTGTGGGTACGAGGACCACCCTGCCTAGAGCCCCTCCTCTCTCTCGCCGTTGCCCTGCCGACCGCAGCTGCAGTGCAGAACGACTGCCCCGCCCTCCTGCGACTATATCTGACGGGACGGCCTCTAGCGATGAGCGGGGGAGTGTTAGTGTTGCGACTGGGACCTGTACCGGGACTGACCGGCCCACCGAAACAGCCTCCTCCACTAACACTGAATGTACCATGACTGCCCCGTCCAACAACAACCAGTTGGAGTGTGGCAATGGAGCGGGCAGGCGGGAGAGGGAGTGGGAGAGGGAGAGGGAGAGGCAGCGTGAGAGGGGGAGAGACAGAGACCGGGACCGGGACTGGGACAGAGAAAGGTTAGAGAGGGAACGAGAGAGGGAGAGGAACCGGGAGAGGGAGCGGGAGCGAGTGGAGAGGGAGAGGCTGGAGCGAGAGAGGGAGCGGGAGAGGGAGAGAGCCAGAGAGAGGGAAAGAGAGAGAATTGAGAGAGAGAAGATAGAAAGAGAGAGGGAGCGAGAGAGGGAAAGGGAGAGGGAGCGGGAAAGAGAGAGGCTTGAGAATGAGAGGTTGGAAAGAGACAGAGAGAGGGAGATGCAGGCTGCAGGTTTGGATGTGTGTGGGAACATTGTGGGACGAGGAGGACCCGAGAAGACCAGCGTCGGCATGAACACACACCAGATCCAGCATCCGCACCCGCACCAGCACAGAGAGATGACCGCAGCCAGAGCCGACGGAGAAAACAATCCAGGCAGCCACAACCCTCCAAACCACAACCCACCCAAGATCCTGCCAGTGTCGGGAAAACTGGAGCAGGTACTTCAAGATTTAAAACTCCCAACCTGGGGCTCAGGCAAAATGAATCAAAAGGGTCAATCTATTACTCACATGCAGTGAGTTGCATGAGTTGTTATGATTCGTCCTCTCCATACTTAAAGTGATCGCTTACAAGTGTGAAATGTAAGCAACTACGGACAAAATGCAGTGCAAAAATATTTCAGCCAAAGTTATTGACATATGAAATTGCCATCTTCCTACGTTTTTAAAGTATAACATGTCCTATTTGTGTTACTAATCCTACACTCTTCATGGAAGAAACGGTGTCCAAACACAAAGAAGGAATTTCATACTGATAAAGCCACAACCTATCCAGCAAAAATGCATTCTGAAGGTCTTTTTGACACGTTCAATTACAATGATATCTTATTATGTACGATGCACGTCCATATTCTGTTAATATGCTTAACAATAATGTGTTTTCTATCAGGCTTTTCTCCTATGTGTACATTCCTTTATATATTGTATTACCTTCTTTCCTCCATCTCTCTTGTAGGCGATGCAGAACAACTCGGGCCTTGTACGTCCCTCCGCCTTCAAGCCGGTGGTTCCCAAGAGCTTCCACTCCATGCAGAACCTGGTGGGCCAGGCAGGAGGGGCTGGGAGCGAGGGCAAGACTGAGGCAAGAAGTGAAGGGTTCAGTGAGAGCAGAGGAGGCAGGAGAGGCAGGGACGCAGCGGCAGGAGAATCAGGAGAGGTCCCAGAGGCCCTGCTCCTGGACCAGGAGAGCCCAGTGAGGGTCAGCAGAACTGAGGGCGGGGGAAATGGTAATGAAGTGGTTCAGGGAGGGATGTCTGACTCAGGGAGGAACTCCCTGACCAGCCTGCCCACCTACACGGGCTCGGGGTCCGGTTGTGGACCCCCGGCCATCCTGGGGCCTCTCAGTGCTTCCACCAGCCACATCAACAGGTTGGGCATGGTTGGGGCAGCTGCAGGCCTCGACAAGCTGGAAAAGCCTGGCTACCAGGTGAGACCCCCATCCATACTCACTTAGTCTTAGCGTGATCTCCTTTATCTGAAATAATGCCGAAAATGTAATACTATTTGCACTCAACCTGATTATGTAACAAAACCAAATCATTTAATAACGTGATCATTAATGTAATACAATGTCCTGACAGCTATTTTATTGTTATTTCGTTTAAAAAACTTTATCGTTACTTCAAAACTAAAGATTTAATATTACTGATAAAAAAATGTAATAATGTAAAAAAGTTTGCATTTTTGTTGAAAATGTAAAGAAAACTAAATGTATATAAATGTTAGTGTCCTTTAGCATTCCGAACATCAAATTGGTTAAAAGGTTATTACAATATCAGCCAGGATATTTCAGCAGTTTATTGGTCAAGTTCTATATCAATGGGTTTTCAATCAGGGTAAAGGCAAATTAGATTACATCTTCAGGAGTCATAGTATGATTGGGTGTGCCACACCTTGCTGTTATCATCTTTAATGTATCTCAATGGTTCTTTCCTTTAGAACGGGCTCAGCGCCTCAGACAGTGGCCGGTCCTCCTCGGGAAAGAGTTCCTCGTCCTATCAGAGGCTGAGCCACCTGAGTGACGCCCCTGCTCCTCTCCGGCCCTCGCCCTCCTCCGACGACATTATCCAGGACCTAGAGGACCGCTTGTGGGAGAAAGAGCAAGAGGTCAGAGGCAACACAGTGAAGTCTATCATGCCGTTGTTTCTAGCACTCAGTGGGCTTTATGATATATAATCTTTTTTTTTCTTGTTTAGGAAAGGTTTTATACTAAATAAATTGTACTTACTTAAAAACAAGGATGGTTGCATTATTTATAAGATTAATTCTAAACTTGAATAATTTCATTGATATTCCAACTTTTGTTGTCCAAGTTAAATGTCCTAAGTCTTTACTAACTGGATGTTTGATTTCTCTTCTTCTCTACCAGGTGCAGCACATGCGTAGAAACCTGGACCAAAGTGAGGCAGCGATTATTCAGGTGTTTGAGGAGAAGCAGCGTGTCTGGGAGCGGCAGATGGACGAGCTGAGACAGAACTACGCCTCGCGCCTGCAGCAGGTGCACTCACTGCATTTGATTCACAGGATGTCGCTGCACTTAATCTCAACTCACATTTTGAGTCAAATGCAACAAGTGTGAATTCTTGTGAAGCATGTGGTCAAAATCTGAAACAATGGTACAATTTCCTGAGTGATGTAGAAACAACAGATGACATTTTATCTTTTTGTCTTCACTACATTGGGAAGGCTGTCACTGAATATAACTATCTGGCTTAATATTCACCCTCATTAGTCCTTGTCTCTGACGACAATGCTTTGATTGGCTTGCAAGAAAATTGCAACGGTGGCAGGTGATTTATTGATCCTGCATATGATGGGGAGAAAATCTGAATGGCTTTTTGACGTCCATGCATTTTGATCCAAGCAGCCCAAAAAACTTGACTGGTTCCAAATGGCATTCAGACCAAATATGTCCCTGATACAACACTTACTGGGTCATGGCTTTAAGTACCAGAAGATGTTATTGCTCAATCTGTTCCACATATAGATGGATACCAACAAAACATAATTTGTGTATACTTTATACTTAAAACTTTATAACACTTTATACGTACATTGCTTCTGCAGGTTACCCGTCGTGCTCAGCGCTCCCAGACTGCCCTGCAGGCCCAGATAGGCCGTCTATCCCAGGACAAGAGGAGGCTCCAGGAGGAGATGGCGGCTCTGTTGGCCCAGAGGGAGGAGCTGGAGAGAAAGTGTCTGGATTACAGGAAGGAGCAGGCTGACATCTTGCCTCGTCTGGAGGAGACCAAGTGGGAGGTGAGATATGAGTATATGACTCGGTGCGCTTGACTAGTTCAGTAAAATGTTATCAGGGTTACATCATGGTAGACTGAACAGTAGAGGACTGAGTACAACCGTGTGTGTGACGCTGCCTCTGTACAGCAAGCCACTTATATGCAATGGAACAGGGAGAATATTGACCATAAAAACTAATACTTCTGAATATTGGGGGTTTGATGTTTCATCACAATACATATTGATTATCTGGAAAAGGATGGGATAACTGCTGATATCAAACACTTTGCTAAGATACAATTTAAATGTAATTCAGTTCATGGGTCTTAGATAGATATGAGAAGATGCCCATTTAAGACAATCAGCTACATTTAAATCAACTCCCAAAAAGTCACTGAAATATGATATGACAATTTAATTGCCTGGCTCTTTCAGACAATTTTTTTAACACGTTTTTTTAACCAAGAAATTCCAAATAAGGGTATCTGAAGACAATGATATGTATTGTTGTTTTGACTTTGTGTCAATATCCTGGATTATTGATCATTGAGTCGATCATATCTACTCAGATTGATGGGTATTTACATCCCTACTTAATACAACAACAAAAAATACCATTCCCTTCTTCTTTATACGTTGCAGGTGTGTCAGAAGGCCGGAGAGATCTCTCTGCTGAAGCAGCAGCTGAGGGAGAGTCAGGCTGAAGTGACGCAGCGAGCTGGAGAGATGGTGGCCCTAAGGGGCCAGCTGAAGGAGCTCAATGCCCAGCTGAGGGAGCGGGAGGAGACCATGCTGGGCCTGAAGGACTCCTACAGCACCAAGAGCCTGGAGCTGGAGAAGTGTGAGGGGGAGCTGAGGAGGACTCTCTCAGAGGTGAGGTTTCAATTGCACCTTGACTTATGCTCAGCAGGCTTTAACACAGAGGAAAACAAACAACAGAAAAACACAAAGGTGAATAATTTGAACATTATTTAAAAAATGTAAATGATAGTCAGTTTATTGATCAGTTTTCTGAATTGGCAATGCAACCAAACATAGATTTCCTAGTAGAGCAATGATCAGACCTAACAAATCAAGTCGCACCATATCTAAAGGTCTGACTAATAGAAAATGTTTTCAAATATATATATTATTTTTTTTATTTGGCAAAATCCCTGAACCTGAGAATTAAATCTCTAGTTTCTAGTTTTCTAAGTGTCTTTGTCAAAATCCTATTTCTTTATTTGTGAGTATGAGTTTACAAGTGAACAAAGAAAAGAGTACTAGCCAAGCTGCTGAAAACACAAATTCCAGATCGTAGGATATTTTCCCAATTGTATGCACATAGAGTGTGTAAAACGAGTCCTGCTTCTTTGAAGAAAGCTAATTTCGACTCCAGTTTGGTTAAAATATCTCGTAAGGTAGATCTTTCAACATGAATATTTAGTCAAAGGACTTTGGTTCTGTTGGCTGAAAGGCTCACATTATTCTAGGGACAATGATGTAAATCTTGTGTAGTTGAGCACCGGTCAACTTTATCAAAGGCTTTAGAGAGTAATGCAATGTTGATTACTATCCAAAGCAGTTCAAATATAGTATACAGCAAGGCAGATTTAAGGATTGACATGTTTTACACTAATCTAGATTGTTGAGCATCTAAAACCAATAAATCCTTCAGAAGGATTCGAAAAACAAAACAAAAAATAGACTACAATAAATTGGGGATTAGACAACATCGTATACTACAGCTACAGCATTTTTTCCTTGTTTTGTACAAGCCCATAAGCAGCTGACACATATCACATTTATATATTATTTGTATTCCATCACTTAAGAGGCAGTAAGTTTAAGAGCAATATTTATCTCTTTGAACACAATGTCTGCATATATAAATAGCTCTTGTCTGGTAAAACGTACAATATCACTCAATCATAAACCATCAAAAGAAAGCTTACATTTTTGGGCGATTAATACACTTGGAAACATTAGTCAAGCGTTGTGGACCTAAGTTTAGGTACAGTTTAAGTGCATACATGTGCTTGATTGCATTTCTACATATACAGTATGAAAAACAAATGCAGCTGGATGAGTATTTGTTTGAATGGCTGTGTGAATGAATGCTTTCACACCTTATGTCTATCTATATAACTATGAACACTTATTAAGCTTATTTTCTATGTAGGAATCCTCCTGCCTGTGAAAATATTTATTGTGATATACATTTTCCTTTTTATAGGTGTCCCATCTAAGAGAGAAGCTGGGTGTGTTTGAGGCAGAGGTGCTCAGTTTAAAGCGGGCTCTAAATGAAGTGAGCAGAGGAGCAGAAGTGGTTGTGAGCCCTAACTTAGCTGCTGCAGGACTTTTGCCCCCCTGGGGGATTGTCCACTGCCCACGTAACCCCACTGAGTCCTCAACCAACTCTCTCACCTCCACGTCTGACAACCTGCTGAGTCTTCAGAGCGATGAAGCCAAGGCCCAGAGGCAGGAAGCTCAGAGACAGGAGAGGCAGCAACGGGAAGAAGCTCAATGGCGTGATGTGCAGCAGAGGCAAGATACCCACATGCAGCAGGACCTTCGAATGCGTCAGGATGCCCAAATTCGACCAGAGGCCCAACTCCGTCAGGAGGCCCAGCTTCGTCAGGAGTCTCACCTCCGCCATGAAGCCCAATTACGCCAAGAGGCCCAGCTCTGCCACGAGGCCCAAATGCGTCATGAGGCCCAACTCTGCCAGGAAGTGCAGCTACGTCAGGATGGCCACCTGCCGCAGCGAGGCCCGGAGGGTCACTGGGACGAGTCAGGGGAGCTTCGCAGGCAACTTGAGCAGCTGCAGGCCGCATTGCGCCTGGAGCGGCAGCAACGGGAACGCCAGGCACTCAACTTCGACCAGGAGCGACACACCTGGCAGGACGAGAAGGAACGGGTTTTGAAATACCAAGCACAGCTTCAGCTCAGCTACGTGGAAACGCTGCAGAAGAATCAAGCTTTGGAAAAACGTATGATCTCGTTGGGAGCTAAACCCTCCTCAACGTCCACCACCACCACTATTACCACCATCACCACCAGCTCCCCCACCTCTTCTAATTCTCCCCCTCCACCACCAGCCATGTCACCTCTATCCCCTCAGCCCTCACTCTCTATCTCTGGCCCCATTGCCCTCACCATCTCCCCGCCTTGTGAAGATCAGAAGGGCCCTCCTTCTCTCCACCAGCTTGCCAATCCCTGGGCAGGACCTTCACGCCTGGAGAGGATAGAGTCCACTGAGATATAGAGACATGACCAATTTTCCAGTCCAAGACACTCACAGTGACGAGGCCTGTCACAGAAAACCACTTCAGCATACAGTTGAAAAACATTTCAGTCTACAATAGAATAAATCAGTACAGTCTGACAAACTTTTCAAAGCAACTTAAGACACTGAAAACAATAACAAATGCCGAATGCCCACTATCAGTAACAGATCCTCCGCACGGGAAGTTGAACTTCATTCAATCAAAGATTTTTCAAATTCCTAAGCAGCCTTTCTCTCTGTAGTTGCACATTACTACATCTCATTTAGACATTGTGCAATGTGAGGAATGTGCCACACTGATGGATGGCAGAAAAGCAAAATGACAATTTTTAGATGACAGCACTAATACAGGGGGTCATTTAACACCCATGCTAGAAAAGGACCAAGACAATCAGGGATATTGTCAGAAATTAACGACCAGAATATTATGCGGTATTTATTCATTGTAAGTCTGTGTCACTGGTCATGTATAAGTAGAAATAGAGGTCAGAGTGTGTGATGTTAACTTGCATTAATGGCCAGAGAGCGCCTTAATCCATTTTTTCCAGCATGTATACAAGAAAAACTAATGCTGGGAATAGAGAAATAGGAGTGTGTTTATCATTTTCAGTGCTTTAATTATAATATCAGAAAACCAGTCACACAACATTGTTACACAGGGCTGGGCTAATTCATTTAAAATCCCAGCAGATATGAACATCAAAGGTAACACCCTGATTTTTGATTGAGTTTTCAAGTCCTTTCATGCACAGGGTCCACAATGCATGACCCATATAAACACATAATTAATACCAACAGAGTTTATATTTTCTACAAATTGAATTAAATAGATATGTTTAGCAAATAATCAACCCCAACTGAATATAGAAAATGTTTTAAAAAGTGGGAGAACCTGATTCGCCTTCAATGCAGCTCGCCTGTCTTGACTAAAAACAAACACTAGAGGTCATAGGAGAGCTTTCACAGCGATACCAACTCAACCGTCTTTTATTGAACTGCAAGGAGAATGTGAATCAAAGCACACAATTTGAATTTGGTTATTATGATAATTGTGTTGTTCACTTTGTGCATTTACAGCCAAGAAATCAGTCGGTATCCCCAAAGTCAAAAATACAATTTATAGAATGTATGATACACTAAAAATAAATACTTATAATAGTTATAGATTGTAAATGTGTGTATGTGGTGAGAGTGCGAGTGTGCGTGGGAGAGCCGGTGTGTGCATGTGTGTATACTTATAAAAAGCTTCAGCTTATGAGATTGAGGATAGAGGGACTAGTGGCAATATAGTAAGTGAAGATATGTTGATGGTAAATGGATTTTTCTTTTTTTGGGGTGGGGGCTTTAAGTACTTTAAGATGTAAGGGCACGAGACTGAAGGAGTATGTATATCATGGAAAACTGTCTCTACTGTATATTTCTTTTAGACAAAGCAGGGGAGAACAATTTTAAAAAAAAACCTGAAAAGGGAAAGTCAGCCTCTTAAAAAGGGAGCGTTCAGGCTAACTGCACTATGTAGTGTCCTACACACGAGTTATGATGTATAGTAGACACAGATGTGAATATCATGGCTTTTATATGTGTTGTTTATGCCAGCATACAAAGATGTTGCTCAAGAATATTAACTTATCTCTAAAGTATTACATAGTATTATCATCTTTATTACTGTTATTATATTATGGTGAACTGACAGAGAAAATATGTGCCATTTAAGCTTTCCTTTATGTGTTTTTTTAACTGTGTAGATAGCCTATTGGCCTACCATAATGGTTCAATCATAGCAACCCTGTCCAAAAATGATGTTCTTTTTGATGTAGGTGATAAATGTAGTTGCAGTATTGCATTGTTTAGAGAACAAAATGCTACCAATTTTATACATTACACAATTGTATTGTTTGCATTTATGTTACTAGTACTGTTCTGGCTTGATTGAAACCACCTCTTTGTTATTCAGCAGAACTAATAAAGAAATGTGAATAATTCAGCACTTTTTTGTAATTGAGCAAATAATTTGTCCAGTGGTTCAACTGGAATTTAGGATTAAGTTATCTCCAAAATGGAAATACAGGCACATAACTTATTTCACAGTGGTTCCCCTGCTGTGTCTAAGGGCTCCTATAATGAATAATTGTAATGGGTCAGGACATGTTTAACAATAATTCAGAATAATAATACCCACAAAATTATTGAAACAAAACCACTGTTACACTAAACTTCGGCCAGCCCTGTGTTGAAAAGGATCGTCCTTAAAAGTAGCAATATCATACTGTAAAATACTCCATTACAAGTACAATTCCTGCATAGAAAAGTATTATCATTGAAATAAGTATCAAAAGTAAATTAAGCAGAATTAATTGGTTCATGAAGTTATTTAATTATTAGCAATAATGCATAAACTTCTCAGCAGAATGTTTAATGTATACAAATAGATAGGTATCTATGTACTGTTGGTGGTTTCATCTGTAGCAATGCATCTTATTTTACAAGTTTGTTTAGAAAGAAAGAACCGAAGCCGTCACATAAATGTATTTTGAGTCAAAATATGGCTACACCATTCTGATATAATGTGAGGTACAAAAGTAGTGCTCAAACAGTGTACCTCAAAACTGTACTTACTGTGCATAACTTGAGTGAGGAGAGATTCCACGTGAAATGAGCATTGTTTTTTGGAATCACAAACCAAAAAGTTCTGTGACCAGTTTGGTCTTAATGTCTTCTAGGCTGAATGTAAGATGGAGACACTGGAACTATCAAAAGGAAATGCATACTATTAGTCCTTGAAATGCTGCAAGCTGCCATTTAGCATCTTGTTACATCAAGTCAAAATCCTAGTATGTGCGAACCTACCTGGCAATAAACCTGTTTCTGATTCTGATTTCTGATTTTGATTGTAAAGGTGATCGACCTTGTTGACATATATGTGGAGGAGGAGAGACTACTCTGAAAAGACAGACACAATATTGACAAAAGGTCAAGACGTTTACATTATTACACAGTAAAGGTTGTGCTAAAGTGAGAAATAAAATAAATCGGTGGACAAACATTTATCAAGCTTATTATCCTACCTGTAGCATCCATCGAGACATTTTGCAATTACAAATTAAAGGCATTTCCCTCATCGGCTTCCCTAGATTTGTCGGACTGTTGGCTAAGCTAGCTAATGTTTGGATGTTAGCTACCTTCTAAAGTTGGCCAAAGGAGCCAAATAAAGACCCAAAACAGCAACAATAAGGCGACGTAAGCTCGGTATGCTATTATTTTACTAATGTTGTGTAATCATTGTCTGATTGGCTCAGCATTAGCAATGTTGGCGAACATTATATTACTAGCTAACCATAAGTGTGGTGTTAGCGTATGTGAATATACCAACACATACCGTGAAAGCTAGCATTAGCTCGATGCTTCACGTTAGTAAATGTTTTTACAGGTTTTTCGTTTGAGGCCCAGATCCTCTTACATCAGTGCAGATAATATATCTGAAAAATGAAAAATCTCGTTGGTATCAGTTTATTTGGTGTAGTGTTGTAGTAAGGTTAGCGTGATTAACTATTTTCCTTCAGACAGAGGACTAATTTGTTTGTGAAGTTAGCTTGATGTAATGCAGGCTATCCACTTAGGTAGTCTTGTATGATATTGTATTGCATATCATATCGTTAGGAATAACATTACATTCTCAGCTTTGCAAATATTGACATTTTGACTGTCATTCATTATAGAGAGTAATAGGAAAGATGTAGTGGCCAAATCGTGTTTATGTTTAGGTCTAACTTTTGTTACCTTTTTACTATTTTATATTATTAATCAATTAATCATTTAGTGTAGACAAGTATAGATTTAAAATATTCCTATTGTTACTTAGTGGTCAGATGGCAAACATTTATTTCAGTAACTATCTCCTTTTTTTTTAAATCACTCGTACTGTGTGTGCTTACCTTGTTAAACTCAGTGTTCAAAATAGTTTATGAGAGATGAGTCACTTCTTGAAGGTCGTTTTTTGATGAGGTCAAACAAAGTGATTATCTTCAAATAATCCAGGGCAGAGTTGTGAACCAATGTGAATCTGTGTTAAGAAAGCTCTTATATGAATGCCTCATTTTGCCTTGACCTATACATTGACTATATACTGTTTGTGACCCAAGGGAACATGTATGCCTCTTAATCAGTTTGTCTTCACAGGTTGGACAATATGGTTGTGAATCTCTGTCTGCCACACTTTTATGCGACAGTTCATTGCAACAAGGTACAACCATTTTATGTACATCATGTAACCTTAACTTCTTTAAGTTTTATTAATTGCATTAAATATAGGGCCTTTCAGAAAAACCCAAAGCTTTGAAGCCTAATCATAACTTTAACATCAGAATTTTAAATCAACATTCCAAATTGGTATTTTTGCAAAGTTGCAGATAAAAACAAGACTACTATTCGCATTACATTCAAGACTCTTGTGATCTGAACATTTCCAATGACTCCAGAGTCTTGTGAAGTAAACATGTAAAAAGAAAAACACAATAAGGTAGATTTACTGTATGTTTTTTACACAATGTTTTGCTTCAATATATATGTTTTGGCATTTACCCTTTCAAAAACAACATTTTTGACTACCTTCAAAAACAGTCCCTTCTCGTGCTTGCTGCACATAAAGGGAGAGAGAGACACACTGACGAGTTGCATTCAACACAATTCAAAAAGTCTAACTCTTTTAATCCTATGAATGGCTTTATTCAAATTGTGGATTAGTTTAAGGATTTTTTTGAGAGTGATGAAATCATAAAATGACGTCAGACACTGGAAGCCTTATTCCAAAACCATAATTTAAGCTTCAAATCTAAAAAAAGAAAAGACAATTGGTACTGCCCCAATATACGATACCTCCCTGTTTTGTTTTTGTTTTCTGGTAGAAAATTGCTGCTACTTCCAATTGACATTCAAGTAGTCTTAACAACAATTACCTAGTACAGAATAAAATAAAAACTGACACTCTTCTACACTTATTATAGTGAGATTTTGCTTTGGCCTATTTTCTTAAAAAAAAATAATAGGTCGAAATAGTTTACAGCAAGAATGAACGTAGATAGACACGACTCTGCAAAGGATAAAGGCGGAGGACAGAGATGTGAAAATAGAAGCAGAGGGACAAAGTGATGTGTGGGAGAGTGAATCACAGCTGACCTTGTTATGTTCTTCTTATTTGTATTTTGTAATCTGATCATGACTGCACCTTCTTCCACACTCGGCAGGGAAGTTGTTATTTTACCCACCATCATCTTGTATATTGTCACATCTCCTTCCATGTGATGTTTTATATTGAATGTCTTCTGTGCTCGATTCTAATGTGGAAGGCCGCTGAAACTTGAAAAGATTTCCAGAATTGTAAAAAAAAAAGTATGCCTAAAATGAACAGTTTATAGTAAAACAAGTTTATTGGACAAACACTTCAGGTTTGCCATACACTTATGGCAAACTAATTTATTTTTCAACTGCAGCTCTGTGCAGATGGCTATGATGTCACAAACCTTGTGTCAGCCGACCCTGCTCTCCGGAGGCAGGGCTTCAAGCTGGAGTACTTCCTACGACCACCTGTACAGGTAAGATTGTCTTACTTGAGTAGAGGTTTAATTTCTTTCTAAGAGTTAGAGACAATGATAAATGATCATTGTCTATATCAGAAGTGGCTACTGTCTAAGGTTTTACTGCCAACTAATGGCCTTCAGTCTTAAAAACATCAACTTATATTCAAGTTACAAGCCTAAAGCAAGAGCACTCTTATGGCAGAATGCTGTAGTTTATTTAATAAAACAGCATCTGTACAATATCTTTTAGCATTTTAATATTTGCAAAAGTGGCATCACTTGTAATAAATGAATCTCTAATATTGATTTCCATATTTATTTTTGTTCCTCTCAGGTGACGCTGAAGTTTGGTTTCAAAGTGGAGCTGTACAGGGTGGATGTGGAGCTTTGGCCCTGGGGTATGGACAAAGGACAAGCCTGCAAGAGACTGGAGATCAGCACCAGCTCTGAATCCACACCCACACAGAATTTGGACCAAGGCAACAAACGGGTTCAGCAGAAACAAATGCCGGTAAAGGACCAGAAACAGTGCAGAGATAAACAGCAGGGGCATGGCAATAAATCTCGTCAGAGCAATGGACACCAGTGGAGACATCAGGCCCAGCAGTGGTGTGGAGAGGCTCCAGATGAGCCTCAACAAAGAAGCTATGCGTTCAAGTCAAACACTGAATCCAGTAACCCTGAACTAGAGTTTAAGCTGATAGGCCGCTGCGAACTCAGGGAGGAAACCCAAGTCTGTTTCACACGTTCAAATGTCAGGCCCCGGCCCCCGTTCCTCTCCTCACTCCCCCCACAACCTGCGAACAGTCGCCAAGAGGATCTGTGGAGTCGGGGTCTGCTCTCATTGGGCGCTGTGACACAACTCCGCGTGACTTTGCCATTTGGCGGTTCAGCATCTGCTCTGGGGCTCAAGACTTTGGCTGTGTGGGGGCAACCTGCTCGCTGCTGTCCTGCAGAAGAAGTGGCGAGAATTAAAAAAGTCCACGAGGACAGCCAAAGACAGCTGCCAAGACCTTCGTTCTTTACCCCTTCTGCCAGCCAGATGAAACCACTACTGCAAGCAGATACACCTCCATGGTATGTGAAAAAATACATTTATTTTTAATTTGCTTCTTGTTGTAGATGAAATAGAGCTCATAATCATAATAAAGGATAATGATTTTATGTCCGCTTTTTGTCTGACTCCAGCCATCTTTCCATCCCAGAAGAGTTCCATGACCGGATAACCCAAGAGGTCATGATGCTGCCCATGCTGCTGCCCAGTGGCGTGTCCGTTGACCACAGCACGCTGGAGGAGCACCAGAAGAGGGAAGCCACCTGGGGTCGACCCCCAAACGACCCCTTTACTGGCGTCCCGTTTACTTCCACCTCCCAGCCTCTTCCTAACCCTCAACTGAAAAGCCGCATTGACCACTTCCTCCTGCAAAACAGTATGATAAGGAGGGAGGGGATGTTGGGGAGACAAGGGGAGGGAGAGCATCCACAGGCCTCGAGACTTTTAGACTCCAATGTAGAAGGACAGTCCCAGGACTCTCAAAGTCTCAGTGACAGCTTGACAAACAACACTGCTTTTCACGATAATGCTTGCACCAGCAACACAAACAGGACTACTCAAGTAGAAGACACTGGATTAAGTCATTCATCAGATAATGGGAATCACAAATTTCACACCCAGTCTCTTAACACGGAGAGGAAATCGGAAAGAAGTATGAAACGAAATCTAGGTGGAGTTTCCGAAGAATCCACAGAAGGTTTGCCAGCAGACAGGCAACTACTACAGCAGACAAAAAGACCAAGACATGATGTCGCTTCTGGTAAAATGTGTTTTGTTATACAAAAAAAAAAAAGTCAACACATTTCACTACTGTGTTTCTCCTGCTGACTTGTTGGTGTTTACTCCGTCTTCATCAGTTTTCAGCTCTCATGAGCAGCGTTTGTCAGCCAGCCTGGATGAGGCCCTCTTCTCCGCCCTGCAGGGCAGACCCTCCTTCACCTCAAACTTGACTCAGCAGAAACGGGTTACACCTGATTCTGAACTAGTGAACCCATCACAGCAGTGTCAGGCTGCCGGCCCCTCGAGCATCCCACAAGGTAGGATTAAGAGAAGTGTACTTTGAAACACTCAAACTACTTTGAAACACTCAAACTAAAATATGTTTAGTGTCAACAGAAGTGCGTTGACAACAGGGTTCCTTCACAAAAATAAGCTCAACTTTTGCCATAACAACAATACGGTGCAGTGTTTTTCTTTAACTTTAGACTCATTGTTCTACAAACTGGACTTCCTTGATTGTATTTTTTTTTTTTTGTAAATATCTTTATTGATTTTCTCAGTTTTACAAAAGCAAGTGACATTCGGTTCCAATTCAAGTAACGATTTATACACACATTCTGACAAATCAAAATCTCCATATCAATCCTTGATTGTATTTCTTATCTAATTTGTATCTGAAGCAACATGCCCACCGTTGCATCCTGTTAATGCAGAGCTGTTTTTGGTCTTATCAGACTCGCATGGTCAGCAGAAAGTCTCTCATAGCTCATCGATGCTGCCTTTTTAAAACGGACAAAATCAAGTAAAGGGTTTGTTAGGCATCAAAAAGATCCCTTTATGTCGCAAATTATTTTTGACTCTAACAAATTCTACACTGGAAAATACATTAGTGCGATCAAGACACATTTTTCTTTTTTCTGAACTGGATTTTCTTTTCATTTTCACAAACAAAAGTGCAAAAAACGTTAGTGATGAAAGACATTCTGGTGTACATGACACTGTAATTTAAAAAAAGAAAGGATGGCAACCCAACACGTAACAAAATAATTCTTGAAATGCACAAAAAAACAAATGAGTTTTGAAATGTGTTGTTTTGAAATGTTACTGATCTCTGATGTTAAACAATATAAATCCATTGAATGGTTGCTTTTTTTCCTTTGCTTGCCAGGTGAGAAGACGTGCTCTGCGTGTTCCTGTTCGGTCTCTGGCTACTCCAAATCTGCATCCTCCATCTACCGTCTTACTTGCGGCCACTTGCTCTGCCACTCCTGCCTGCGGAGGGAACCACAACCACCAAGCTCTGTCACCATATCAACTGCCAATCACATCTTGTGTTCAGCCTGCCAAAGCACTACCCCGCGTAGTGAGGTCATACGCGTTCATCACTAACAGATAACGTGTAAAGGCAAATCAACACAATGAAGAGGATGTTCTGAAGGTGAAACCAGCATTATACCTGAGATTAAGTGTTTCATGTTTCAGACATTGATACTACTCTCATTTTTTGTATACTTTTGTAATATTTCTACATTATGATTTTGATTCACGCCTGAGTTTTTGAAATCTGTTTATAATATTATTTTGGCACTTCTTGAACCCGCCACGTCACAAATTCAACTTTGTATTTATGTCCACAGCTTAGAAAGAACATCACTGAAAGCAATGACCTTTACAAAAATCTGCAGAAAAAGAATGCTTAAAGAAACCCCCTCCCCCTTTGCCTTTTCATCCAGGGTTGAAGCGTTGTTGCAGCCTTGGTTCTGCAGACCTTGTACACAACCTGACCTTGTAGATGTGTTGGGAATGCAAAAAGAAAAGGTTCTGGGACACAAGCATTTGGAGCAAGGGGCCAGAAGAATGAACATGAATTCATGTCTACCCAAGGCCGTTTGGCCATTATGAAGAATCACACTTGTCATGCTCATCCTTCCCCTCTTTCCTTCACTCTATTCACCATTTTACATTCCCTTAACTCTGGTATATTGTTCTTGTCTTAACAGAAATAAAGGCAGAAAATGTAGATGACTTCTTCGTGTTGGTTCTGTTCAAATATATATCTTCATTATTATTAAAATGTCTCCATATATCTCCAATAAGATTATGGTTCTAGTTTTATCACTGTTTTTTAAAGGTGCAATGTTATGAGAAGCTACATGTACTCCAGTGTCCTTGCCCAGGTATTCATGTTCCTTCCTCTTAACACTTCAACCTAATTACCTCTAATGAGTTTGTCTTGCATTCACAAAAGGGTTAAATGGGTAGTCAGGAAAAACAGCATTTATTGGGCTTTGCATCCACAAGTGGCAATATTTATGTGTTGGTTACCCTGACAACATTAAGCTTAACCAAGGTCATGATCCTGTATCCGCTCAGAGTAAAGGCTGAATCAGTTGTTCTGCATGTGAACAAAAAACATAATCTTCAACACATCAGATACAAGTATCGTCACTCTAAAAGAGATGTAGAGTGGTATTAACTACTGCTTTTACTTGTCTAATGAACTGATGAGCTTGTTGTTCTCCATGTGAGAAATGAAATAAAACAAAAGTAAACACCCTCAATCTGATGCTCAGGTTTTCCACTTAGCATTCTGCATCACAACAGCTAATCGGGGAGTAAGAATCCAAAGCATGCAACAAGAAACTGAACGGAATAATGAACTTCAGATAGTTACGTCCATTTGAAATGCTAATCTTGTTGTTCTCATTAATTGTTTGAAATTACAGCAGCAGGATAATCTGTGTGACCTCGAGGTTGTCATGATGAAAGAACCATACCCTCCATGTCACAAGAGGAAAAATATGTATTTACTGATGAACGGTGTTTAACATAAATTGTGCATGATCACCATGAAATGTATAATCATTGCGCTCATTGCAGTACATCCAATTAGTTGTCCACAAGTCTAATTAGACGCTAATGTTCTGCCATTTTCAGTGTGTGCCATCCGCGTAGGCTGAAATTATTCAGAAAGATGTTCTAAATAAGTGTGGCGCAGTCTTGAATACAGAAAAGGCATCTTGTGTTGTCAGCGTTGTTCTCTGATTTGTTAGATGCCACTAATCTGATTCAGAGCCATATCTGCTGCGACCTCTTGCGCACACGCACGCAGCCAGGTGGCCTTCGGGTGCGCGTGCGTGCGGAGAGGTGTACAGCACGACACTGACGTCAGATGTGAGTGTCAATCGCTTTGTCTGTTCATGTCCATCCGCTTATAAAGTGAGCCATGTACCGGGGTATCAGCCACACATCTCCAGACGGAGCTCAGACCAGTGCGCGGCTCTTCCATTAACCAGCAGCGATGCCTCACTCCTTGTTCCCCATGTGCGTCCTGGCACTGCTCGCCCTCTCCTCCGCCTGCTACATCCAGAACTGCCCCCGAGGAGGGAAGCGCGCTCTGGCGGAGTCTGGCAACAGACAGGTGAGGACACTTACCCTGTCATCTGTGACTTTATCAGATTTCTTTTTAATACTTTGGATGCTTTTTTGGTTTGAAATGTCCCCAAAGTAAGGGGAAGTAAAATATATAACATTAGGATCATTTTAAATATGAAATAGTTCAATTTGCAATCATTTGATGAGATCAGTTGATATTGATTTATGATTTTGAGATTTGGGTTTAAATGTTTAGAGAAAAACCAAGCCATTTTACTTAATAAAATTGATAAGCGGGAGAAGATGGATGGAACATTGTTAAATATAGCAAAAATGTCCAATTTCAGGAGCTAGCTATTAGATGAACACATTTATTATTTGTTATAATGATAATTGTGTGCATAATAACTTATAGTAGAAACAACACCCATCATGATGCATTTCAAGTGTTTTTATATTATTTTAGTTCTGCATTTTTTGATATATACAGGCAAGTTTATATGCAAACATTAATAATATAGACAAGCATAGTGTTTTGAGATTAATGTGCAACAGAATCATGCAACAGTTTTCCAACTTTTAAGCATGCCCTTTACAAGTGTTTTTAATTAACACGAGAGACTATCAAAAGAGAGTGCAATGCTTAATAAGTGTTACAATGTTTCCAAACGAATTGACTGGATGTATAACACTTTATTATGAATGCTTAAATCTTCCCAATTCTCCTCCAGTGCATGTCTTGTGGCCCCGGAGACAGGGGCCGCTGCTTTGGCCCCAGCATCTGCTGCGGGGAGGGCCTGGGCTGCCTGCTGGGGTCCCCGGAGACAGCTCACTGTGTGGAGGAGAACTACCTGCTGACCCCCTGCCAGGCGGGAGGGAGACCCTGTGGATCTGAGGGAGGACGCTGCGCTGCTTCAGGACTCTGCTGTGACTCAGGTATAGTCTGGTTTATTATTCCTCATGTTCAGACAAGTTAATAAGTTGGGGATGAAATGGCCTATAGGCACAGCTTGAAAAACGTCCTCTCCTTCCTCTCAGAGAGCTGTGCGGTGGACCCTGACTGCCTGGGGGACACCGAGGCCCCAGATCCGGCCCACGGCTCTTCATTTAGCTCACCTGCAGAACTTCTGCTGCGCCTACTGCACGTGGCTGCCAGAGGACAGCCTGAGTACTGACACTCCGGGCCATGAAGGGAAACAGAATGAAGATCATCACTGTTCCACTACAAGCCTTGAGATGTAAACCATGAACCAATAAAATGCCAAGTCAAACTTTGTTCTCTCTCAACCCCTTCTGCTGTCTTGTATCTGTAGAGAGGGCCATAGAAGAACTACCTGTAACTTTAGTAATCAGTCAGTTTTCATCCAGATCCTGTGGAAGAGGAATCATGATATTGTATTGTTTGTTCCAACCTTAGAAATGTATATACTGATGCACATACTGTAAACAAATTGTATTCTATATAAGAGGATGTAACACACCTCAGAGCTCCATTTCAAATAAGTGAATTACAGCAGAAAAACCCTGTATATAAGTCAGAGATCTGACATTTAAGACATCCATGTAAAACAACTTAGGCCGTTACTTATTGTGTGGTAGAAATATTATTGTAAATTGAAAATAAGAGAGACAATACAGAATATATCCCTGCCAAAAATCTTCAGCTGTCTGTTGTCGTTATTCACAAGCTCAACATAATTACACCTTTAAAGATGATGACTAATAGTGTTTATAGTCTGTGTGTGTGTGGTTGTGAATGTGGGTGTCTGAAAATAATTAATAACTACATGAAAAGCTAAGAAATCATAATACTTTCTGTCGTAAATCAGTATCAATTCTTTGAACCTGTCCAGCGTTATAGTTCGTAAGTTCAAAAGGCTGGACAGTTATAACCCCCCCAGAGGACACAATGATTGTAGGTGTGCCTAACTACTGCAAACTAAAATGTAAAATGAAAACGTTGATATTGATCTGAGGGTAAAGAGGAAATAAGCTGGACTTAGTGTATTTCACGGCAGATTTAGAAGTCGGCTAGTAACAATTATTTATCGAATTGTCCGTCACATGTTGCACTGATACGATGAATTAACCGTGTCAATCAGTAGCTGCCTTTCATTATCTTCTTCAAGCACACAAATCTCTTTGTTGTTAGACAGTGTTGCTTCATATTTTTTTGTGCAGGATGATTAAAAGTTGTTTTTGCCAGAATGTATGTGTTGCCAGTTTCAGTTGGAACAGGATGCAAGATCTCCCACATTCTGACATTTACGGTACCTGTTCTGAAATAATACCTGTGTGTCGGGAACTATAAACGTGTCTTATATCTGCCTGATTAATTGTTCAGTGTTAAAAGCTTTGATAACATACATTGCCCCGGGCCAATGTTGCTTCAGTGGTAAACATAAATGATTACAACCAAACAATTCCATGGCATCGTCAAACTTAGTTGACTAAGTTGACTTAAAAAAGACTCATAATGTGTTTGCTCAGGGGCTTTTCAAATGATGTCTTCTGCTTGAAAGATAGTTTCCATGATCATTTATCGAAAATGTTTCCCAAAGGGTTAATAAGATAATTATTTGTTCAACATCAGAACATTACAACATATTACAAAGCCTTGCACTCACCACATACTGTATACTAATTTATCTTAAGTATTCAGATACACCGTTAAATATATACCTTTTGTTTCTTTTGACTCTGTGGTTGACATTTGATTTCAGTTAAATTCCCATTGATCTCAGTTGTTTAAACTATAACCCAGCTTTCCTGACTTTGGGTGTGGCACTAGCTAAGCCTTAATTCAGTATCTGTCAATCAAAGAAAATCCTATAAAAAGTGTGGTAATTAAACCTGTCAGAGCCTGTCTGAGTGGAACATACCTGTACCACGAACTCTGCTACACAGGCAGTTTAAACAAAGAGTCATTTTCAAAACGAAAGTAACATTGGTTTTCAAAAAGACTTTAAACCTACCATAGTTTAATAACTTAATCATCACTGTTTAATTACTTTGTGTTTTGCATTTTGGTGCATTCATTACAGTAAGATGGTGGTAGATTTGAGCATATGTCTATAACCTCTATTTGTAAGTAGGTGGGTCCCCCACCCACCTACTTACAAATAGAGGTTATAGACATATGCTCAAATAGTCTGTGTGTGTGTGGTTGTGAATGTGGGTGTCTGAAAATAATTAATAACTACATGAAAAGCTAAGAAATCATAATACTTTCTGTCGTAAATCAGTATCAATTCTTTGCGTGTGTGTGTGTGTGTGTGTGTGTGTGTGTGTGGGTGTGTGTGTGTGGTGGGTGTGTGTGTGTGTGTGTGTGTGTGTGTGTGTGTGTGTGTGTGTGTGTACGTAACTTAACTTACGTAGTAGTACACTAACTAACTTAACGTTAACGTAACGTTAAGNCACTGAAGGTAAGGACCCCATTATTATGACAATTTATGTTAAAAGCAAGACAACGCTTTAATAGAATCAGTTTTTTTTAAGGTAAGTTATATACATGCTCAGAGATGTTTATATTTTTGGGCAGAATATACAGGAATCGATTGGTCTTTCACTTTCACTTCATATTGTAGAAGAAAATGAAAATGATAATTTGATGTTGTAAAGGCAGAGTATCTCAATAACTATATTGTTGATGCAGCTGTTTATTGATTAAATAATCTTCTTTGTTTTTCAATCTAAAACTTTAGATTTCTTTCAATTGTATTTGTCATTATCTTTAAAACAAAACCAAACCTAAAGTCAAACCCATATAGTGCCTTCTGCTTTTGAAAAAAGTTAAACTTCTACTGTTTTTTACAAACCAACATGCCTGTGTTATACTTCTAAGCTTTTTATCCCTTCCAGCTCTTCATGTTTTTTTTCTCCTTCCCTATTTTATATATTTTGTGTTTTATCTCTTGCTTGATTGCCAAATGTAACTTGAGGCCCAGGGACAACAGTTAATAATGTGCCTTTTTGGCTAACACCCGCACATTTAAAGTGATTTTGTACCTAAAAATATAACTTGATAGAATGGCAGTGATAGCAGAGACACAATTAAACACATTTGTTAATCATTATTGTTGTTTAAACATTCTTTTAATGGATCTTAATCCCACATTGCAGCTGGCATTCCAAAATGTTGCTTCTCAGTAAAGAAGGACATTCCCCTCCAAGTGTTGCTGAGGGTTCAGAGGTGGAGTGTGCAACAGAGCAACGGTGCATGTGACATCCCTGCACTGATGTAAGTGGTGAACATCAACAATAGGCCATATTATTACAGTTATCAAATTGTTTCTTTGTGCCACTATCTAACCCTGAAACATGTTTCTCTTGCGGATCGACAGTCTGCATATAAAGGGTTTAAGGAAGCCCATATGTGCTCATCTCAAACTGAAGAGAGCCCTGATGGCGCTGCAGGCCAGGATGAAGCGGAGCAGACAGACAGCATGAGGAATCTAATTTTCTGTGTTGTGTTTTCTACACTTGGTGTGATACATAAGCCCTCACGGTTGTCTCTTTCTTTATTGATGATGATCATTTAGAGGTACTTGTACTTACATTTACTATATACATTTCAAACTACTCTAGAATCAACTACATGTATTTAATAGATATTCTTTTTCAGAATATGATTTGACATACAATCTGATTCTTAAACCTTAAATATGATTTGACATACAATCTGATTCTTAAACCACACCGTATGTGAAGTGTTTTAAAATCAGCTAAAAATTTACTGTCTTCTGTCTACTTTTAATATTTGAGGTATATTTCATTGCTAATGATTCTGTGCTTTTACTTAATGTAAAGGTTACAAAAAGGGGGTTTTACTTTTAATGGAGTATTTTTTTTATTTTGTTGAATAATGTGAATTAAATCTTTGTCATTACATTTATACTTTGTATCGTAATACAATTGCATAAAAAAATAACGTGATTTAATAAATACTTTATATTTTATGTTATATTTGTATTTTTGCTTCCAGGTCTAGTTGTAGTTATCATTTATTTAAAAAAACAAAACAAGACATGGTCAAATAATGTACGTAAGGTTTTTGGCTATATTAAGAAAGCATCAATTGGTTAGAGGGCGACAATTGTTTTCAATTCAAGATTCAGTGTCTTTATTGTCATGTGTAAAGTAGCTACAGTGTAGATATGGCAATGAACATTTTAAATCCCGAGCTCCTCCAACAATGCCACATTTATAGGACATAAAACCATAAAACAAAATTTAAGAAAATGTAAAAGTGATGGTTTTTGTCTGTTGAGTCAATTTCAGGTCCTCCAATTGTCAATCAATACTTAGACTTCAGGAGGCACTCGCATGAATATTATGTTAGCACTGAAGTTGATTTGTTTTGATAATAGGTTCACTCATCTAATGTTCTCACATCGCACACTAGAAGACACATGAGAACACTCAGATGGACAATCTATATCTGTGGAGTCTATGAATACTATAGCTTATCCTTGGTAACTCCAGATCATTCTGAGCATAAATTGAACTTTCCTTGCTCCGTTTTGCCCTCTGATGATCAAAACCTAGACCCCACTCCCCCGTCTGTCATAACTAAACCCACAGAGACAAGCTGCTACAGAGAGGGCTTCAAAAAAACTGTGGATAGTTTCTCAATTATTAGATTTATTGGGTCTCATTCCAAAGTGAGGGATTTTTCTCCAAAAAACTCGGACCAAGGGGGGAAAGCACCTAATCACATTTGCTGTTGTCACTGTCACCAAGTAGCCTACATTATTGATGTACTTAACTTTGTAATTTATGGGATAGCTCTTTTATTCTGTGATTGTTTTAAATACAACTCTCTGCTGTACAACTGTTTAGTTTTAGTTTTGACCTTTCATCCTTTATTAAGGTTTGAAAGATCACATCCTACACTGTTCATTTAAAGAAAAAGAAAAATATTTTACTCGCATTCAGATGTATTAGATTTATAGATTACTGTATAAAAAATCATCAAAGTTGTGTTGGTGAATAGTACATTCAATTCAAAGCCGTCCAACCATTAATTGTCTGAGACTGAATGGAAGGGAGCAGCCGTGAATTGCTGATGCTGCTTTTCATATTCTGCATTGTTTAACATGCAAGGAACTCAAATAAAAAACGTTTACGCAGGCACTCAATTTGAAGCACTTTGTAGGATATAGGCCTTCAACCCCAGGCAGTATCTGTAGTATTCCAAGTGTATGTAAGTCCCTTTTGTGCGTCCTTCTTCTACTAAAGTGGTGCAATATAGAAATGTTGCAATGTAAAAGTCAGGTGAAATATATGTTGATGACATGAAAAAATAAATTCAAGTAGAACCGTCATCCACAGGTTAACTACTTCACTCACAGGCCACAACATGAACCTATCCATCAGGCTAAGATCCAAGTCCTCAGGCTGTTTTGATTGTCAATAACTCATTCTTTCCAAATGGCAAAAAGCCCCTCCAGCTAATGACAGAAATCCCCCCTTTGAATCCCTCCATTCCCAGACGAGCGGTAATTCTTTATCACATAATACTTGAGTCACAGCAAATTTCTTCAATGCACGTTGTCAAAAACCCTCGATCAGAATCAGAATCAGAAACAGGTTTATTGCCAGGTAGGTTCGCACATACTAGGATGATGTGAAGACATTCACCATTTATCAAAGAGCTTTTCACTTTCGCCACTCCCTTTATCAGAAACCATATTCCAAGAAAACAAACATAATGGCGTCAGATTGGACAATAGCAAAAATTACTGTTACACATGTTACAGCTGTCTCCTGTTGAACTCTTGCCAACAACTTAATCTGTGATCTTAAATCTCCAGGCACTGATTCATCAGCACTCAAACCTTCTGAAAGGTTCAGCTGTGGCTCATCTTGCATCCAAGGGCAATACTTTGAAAAACTGAAGGAAGAAGTATCCTAATACAACTACAAAAAAAGGTGATTTAACAATGTTAATGTGCTGTGATAAACAAGAATACAAATGCTATTTACCTCTAAGCAAGTGAGAATATTATAGAGCATAAAAAAATCAAACATCTAAAAGTAAAGTTGAAGCAGAAGGAGTGCCTGTGATTACCTGTCATTTAAGGATGTTTTCTTTCACACTGTGAAGAGATCATAAATCTGATGCAATAGCACCCTCTACTGGCATGATGGTCTTATTTAATGCACAACAACAAGCAGTGATTTTTTATTGTCATGTTATTGTAAAATAATCTGTCCTGCAGATTCCTCATGTTTGCCGAAGTCTGTTTTTTCCCATAGTGTAAAGTGTTTGCTGTTGCTGTACATTTACACAGGCAACCCCACATGAACCTAAAAAGTAGCACAGGTTGCATGTATGTGTTACTTCTTCCTCCTCACAGAGTTTCACTCAGGAAACAGGCTTCAAATTGAACATGATCCAGTTTGTTTCGGTAAAATATAACTTGTTACGACACATGAGTCCATGAATGCATCATAAAAGAATATCAATGATCAGCACATTTTAGCAGAATGGTTGCCACATTCAAGATGGTTGCCCTTTTTACGGATCTATTGGAAGCAACATATTGAACACTCTGGTGTGACTGCTGCACCCATTTAAATAAGGTGGTTTGTGTTCCAAACAGCAGATTTATGGGTGCGGCATAATCTAGCAGAGTTGCACTGAAATTGCTTTGTCTTCTTCTTGCCTACATTGTTGACTTTGAGTAAATGTTTAACTTCCCATAATTATCAGACAGCACTGCAGTCTACAGTTGTATGTGAACGCAAGCACTGTCATAGTGTTTTTATGACGTGTGTTTAACATGCAAACCTCTGTATATTTGGCTACGTGATACACATTTAGGCTGTTTTTAATGCTTTTGGGGTTGGTAGTGTCTCATGTCTCATTAATACAGTACTATATTAACTTGAAAACAAATTGTGACAGAAACATATGTATATAAACTTGATCAAAGCCAGCTCACGTCTAATGTCCTGCACTGGTGGAGCCTGCTTTTGTGTCAATATCAACTAAAACAGGGAAGGGCATGTTTAAATCTTGCTCTTTGAAGCATGACAGGTATGACAGGTGCTGTGCAAATAAAGTTGAGTTGACTTCCTGTTGCAGTAGTGATTGACACGCGCCCCTTTGCCTGCAGGCAGGGTCCCTTGGATTGAACCTCCCACCACTAAACCAGGAATTACTCCGCCTTAGAAAAACGTAATAAAACTGTAACAGGTGTCTTTATAGTTTCTTAAGATGTCTGCCATTGGCGGTCTACAAACTGTTGAACACTCCGGAATGCTCAAGCTGTATTCTGCCTTGTTTTACGCCGGCTGCTCGTTCCTCATCACGGTGGTGAATAAAACCGTGCTGACGAGCTTCAGGTAGGCTATGTGGCGCTGTGTCATGCTGTCAAGTCATTTAGGTGGAACAAGTGTTAAAAGCGTTATGCTAAGACTATGATTAAAAGTGGTAATAATACAAACAGTGTAGTAAGGGCGTTCTCTATACAAGTAAAAGTCATGCATTCAAACGTTTCTAAACTAAAACAAACTTTAGGGGCCAAAAGCATAGCTTCCCTTTATGAAATACAATGTATATTCAATTACTGTATCAATATGTACGCATTCACTTTAATAATGGAGCTGGTTAAGGTGGAGCTTATTTAACCATTACATAAACTGCTGGGTACCTTGTGAAAAGTGTTATTTTTAATCTATAATTTGAAGTAACGACGAATAAGTAATAATAAAATGGATATACTGAAGTGAAGTGTAGTTCTTGAGTGCATGTGCGTACTTTTCATCTTCATTCATAGCAATAACAATGTAGAAAGCTCACTCACAAAAGGAAGCTTATAACTAAATGATTCATAATGCAATACGTGATTCACAATGCAATACCACACAGTCAGCTATTGTTTTTGTGTTGGATTTTCAGGTTTCCGTCCTACTTGTTTCTGGGAATTGGCCAGGTAAGTTGTCCAGGTTTGGATGTTTCTGAGTGTTTATGCAAATGTGAATCATGTACACACACACACACACACACACACACACACACACACACACACACACACACACACACACACACACACACACACACACACACACACACACACACACACACATCCTTCTTCATTGTCACTTTTGTACTTTCAGATGATTGTCACTCTTGTTGTCCTTTATGCTGCCAAAATTAGAAAGAAAGTCCAGTTTCAAGATTTTGACAGAAGTATTCTCTTTAAAGTAAGCATTTCTCTCATAAACAAAATACTATTATAATTGATTTGATAACATTTGTTTTCAAAATATATTACTCCTTTAATTTCTTGTCAGATTTTCCCTCTTCCTTTGCTGTATGTTGGGAACCATATAACAGGACTGGCAAGCACCAAAAAACTCAGGTTAAACCATTTTGGATGTTATCTAGTAGTCCTTAATTTCACGTTGCTCATTCATGTGTTTCCTGAACGTGTTTTGTGCTTTTACAGTTTACCCATGTTTACAGTATTACGGAAGTTCACCATATTGATGACGATGACCTTGGAAGTATATTTACTAAAGTAAGACATATCTCTGAACTGTGTAGAACAGTATGTATTATGAGCCCACTTACATGAAGAGGTTCATATATCAGAAGTATTATATAAGACAGGAGCTTCTGGCTTTGATCTGAATGTTTGAATGTTCCCTTTTTTCCAGAAAATCATTCCCAAGACGCCTTGTATTCAGCGTTGTAGCCATAGTCTTCGGTGCCATGGTTGCTGCAAGGTATAGATTTCTTAAATCTGAATTCATTGATTTAGAATTGTTAATAGATCCTTTAACCCAGGGGTGTCAAACTCAATTTCATCGCGGGCCACATTAGCATTATTGTTGCACTCAAAGGGCCAGTTGTAACTTTAAGACAATATAAATATATAAAATAATGTATTATATTACATTATTGCCTCTGCATTGGATTATTATCGGATAGGGTAATAACTTAATAATTAACTACGTCTGAATGCAGAAGTCTAGGGCAAATAATTACAAGTCTCTTCAGTGCGCATGTCACAAAATGAGATTCATTGTGGGAGATGTTGTTTATTGGCAATGTGCTTCTGTAAAACGGCATGTAACTGTTTAATAAACATATTATATTCTTTGCAAGCTCTTGCGGGGCCACGTAAAATGAAGTCGCGGGCCGGTTTTGGCCCCCGGGCCTTGAGTTTGACACCCCTGCTTTAACCCCTAATACCTGTACTTTCCATACCTCTTTCCCTCTCCTCTAGTTCTGACCTAGCCTTCGAATTGGAGGGCTATACTTTCATCCTGCTCAACGATGCCTTCACTGCAGCCAGTGGTGTGTACACCAAGAAGAAACTTGGCACCGAGGTAACACTAGCTGCACGTTCTGTGTGTAGGTCTTTACACAGACGGAAAGACACACTTGGGTTCTTTTAAACCCTGAGGATATTGTCCTTGTCCTATACAACTTCAACTGGTTTTACTTGTTTTTGGAGCTTTATTTTGTCTGGATGTCTTTTGAAAAAAATTATTCTTGTACCAGCTAGATAATGAAGATGTCCACTTCTCTTCTTTCTTTGAGGCTTGTTGCTTTGTTCCTTCTTGTCAGAAGTAACACATCTTCAGTGAACAATGCTGACTCTGGTGCTAGAAGATTATTGGCTCTTATGGCTTCTGCTAGAATATTGTCCAGATCAACCTTAACTCAAACTCTTGCGGTGTTTAACTCCTTCACCTCTTGTAGATGTTCAAATTGTGCCAGCCGTTGTTTATCTTTAGTCTCTAGACTTTTAAATTCTGCCTCTTCCTTTTCTTTTTTGGATGTGGCCTCATTTATTTGGAGTGGAAACTAGAGCAGGTAGAACCATGTTGTGATCGCTGAGAGAACAATTCAGAAACCTGTTGACTTAACTCATAAACAAAGCTATTTTTTTACTTTTTTGCCTTTCAAATAATAAATGCCAAAAAAAACTTGCATTCACAAAAGCTTAATGTCTGTATATGTGTAGTAAACAGTTGTTTTATGTTAAATTATACAGTATTAGGAAATGTTGCTCACAGCTGTCCTGCCAAAGAACGAAGACGAATCTGACTTATTTATTACAGTTGTCTCAGTCGTTAATTCTATTTTATAAATAATTGTTTGCTTTCATTTGTACTATATGTCTAAGACTTTTGTAGAAATATAAATGGTATTGAATCAGATCATTAAAGAAGAATATGCCCATTAGATTTAGAAAAAAGTTGAAAGCTTTGACTTTGATCATCTGCCCTCCTAACCACATATTTAAAAACGTATCTTTTTTTGCGATTAAAGATATTGACAGCCTATAGATGTATAATATGAAGAGTTTTTAACATTTTCCAATTGTAAAAGTAAATACATTTACGTTACAATTACTTTTTGTGTCACAAGTATCTCCACAAATGATCGTTGTGTATTTGATTTTGGTCACATTATATCTAAGGTTTTTGTCTTTCTTTTGAAGGGCCTCGGGAAGCATGGCGTCTTATTCTACAATGCACTTTTCATCATCATCCCCACTCTTTTGGCAAGTGCGTTTACCGGAGATTTACACAAGGTACATACAGTAACTGTGAATTTGTGTATTCTTACTAAATGTTTGCGCTCAAAACGATATGATTTTTTCCCTGCCTGACCACCCTGTATGATTTTCTCCACAGGCAGTCACATTTAAGGACTGGGGCGACGACACGTTTGTTTTTTGTTTCCTCTTGTCTTGCTCCATGGGGTATGTCACTGAAATGTACTTCAAAATGCTATATTACTGTGACTCTACTGTCAACTGTACAAAATAGTGATATTTTTAAAATCTAAAGATGTTCAATTACGCCACCTGGTTTTATTAAACTGTTTTGTTTCCTCAGGTTTGTGCTGATGTATTCCATAGTCCTGTGCAGCTATTATAACTCTGCACTTACTACAACAGTAGTGGGAGCAATAAAGGTAAGACCACACTGATTTGTAGACTAGAAATCAGACAAATCTCCAACAAGGTTTCCTTATCCTTGAAACTCATTATTTTAATCATAGAAAATGATTAAAGTTCCGAACTACGTGGTTCTTGAATCTACATCATACTACACATAGTGTTAATCAATCATAAAACAGTGACCATGTTCAAAATGGCTTATCTTGCAATTTTAAGAATTTAAGATCTAAATATGCACCTAAAACTAGTTCCTTACTGTTCAGCTGATGGCAATGACCTATCTTCCCACTCAATCAATCAATGTTTATTTATATAGCCCAATATCACCACTCAAGAAAACACCCTCCTTGGTGGAGTCAACTATGTTTGTGTTTCACATTTCCATCTGTCTATATTCAAACGAGGTCCTCACTAACTGGAATTACTGTTGTAACTTTCTTAAGAACGTTGCAGTTGCCTATATTGGCATATTTGTGGGTGGAGACTACCTGTTCTCTTGGACCAACTTCCTTGGCCTCAGCATTTGGTAAGAGTTTAAGATTTGATTCTGGCTATCAAATTTCACAATATTGACCGTAATGTATTTTCAGGATTGTTATAGGTCTTTAATCACAATGGATCTTAATCTGGGTTTCAGAAAGTGTCAGTGTTCAATAGATGATGCTCTCCAAAGTTAGGGTTATATTTTCATAATTTTGTCTCCTCTAATGTTCTTGCTAAATCTTGTAATTCTCTCCACCAGACCTCTATAATGTATTAAAACAAAACGCATCACTACTGTAGTTAGTGTTATTCTGGCGTTTTTATAATTACACTTTGTGATCAACATATTGTGTTGAATGTCATTACAAACTTTACCTGACTACAACTGAAAGCTCTCAGAAGACGTTGATGGGACCAGATGACCAAACATGAGTTTTTTCCCTGGTTTAACAATTCATTTGCTTTAATTATTTGTTTTGCAGTATGTCAGGTGGACTAGTGTACTCGTATTTCACCTTTAATCAGAAAACACCTGTAAATTATGAAGGAGCACAAGAGCTGAAGATTCGCATCACAGAAGATTCAACCCAGAAGGAAGCTATAATCTAAAAGGACAGTATTTTACCATTCGCCACCTGGTGGCATTGCTTTACTCCATATTGGAGCATCATATTTCATTTGTCATTTTTTTTTTCTCATTTTAATTTTCATACCAAATCATGAAAGAATAAATTGAGGTCCACATCCAATCTGGGTCAGGTTTGGTGAACATTTATTTAAAAACCAACAATTATATAACAGTGTGGACAGCCTGTCAGAGAAATATTACCTTAAAATGTGTAATAAAATGTCTACCAAGCAAGCAGGATCACTCTATACATGCTAAAAACATGGAAACTGTTGGAGCATGTTAGGGGAGGAAAAAAACGTTAACTAAAAATCGACTTCAAAGCTCTTCGTAAATTGTTCACACTCAACATTCTAACAAAAAAAGGTGTATATATTAAATGCCATAATCTTCTCAAACCACAAAATAGACTAAGGGTTAGAAATGCTTCAAAATAAACTATAATGGGGTACAAATAAATCATTTGGTGTTTTGATTATCAACAATTCACTTGCCTTCCAGTTTTACCGAAACTCCACAAAGGTCATTTGTAAACCAAACAGAATCAAACATCACAGCTAGAGTGACAGCTTGCTGACAGGGCAGTTATGAGAGGTTCATACAGTGTTGAAGGATGTAGTGTTGCTCAAAAAAGAAAGAAAATTATAACACCAAGCACTATAAAAATCAGTTTATCAAAAACAAGTGCCATCTTTTTGGACTCGTACGACAAGTCTAATTTTCTGTGCATTGCAAGCTTAATCCAACACTTAAGTAGGGGTGTAAGTGCTAAGTAAAAATTAACGAGGTGTCAAAATTGACAAACCTAAATGGATTTCAAAGGTTTTAGATTTTTGCTGGTGCCAGAATATTTCCCTTTACATGTCAAAAGATTTCAGGGCTATCAAAGTTCAAGAAATTGTTAGCCAGTAAAAAAAGAATATGGCGAAATAAATATATCATAACTTAAATCTTTTGAAATTAGATGACATAGATGCAACACTATGTTTCTATGCCCGTATAATATATGGCCTGTCCCCCTTTAATATAAAAGGTGACATTGTGAAATATCTCCCATCTTTAGGTCTGCTGACTTTACTTTTGAAGGTAAACATCTGTTTCAATGGAAATATGGCATTAAAGGTATTCTCGACCTCCAATGATTGACTATTGCTTGACTGAATATGTAAGACCAGTATATATATATATATATATATATAAAAAAGAAAAAAAAGGCGAACTTCCTGTGTGCCTCCGTTATTGTAAATTGAAAACAAATGTGTTTGAATCATGATAAAGTGGTAAAGCTGTCGAAGTATGGATTATTTTGAAGACCTCTGGATTAGGCTTGCAATGATCCCACCTTATTCGAATATAAAAATGAGCCAATGCCAGACTGACTGACCCCCCCCCCCCCC